CATAAAAATTCATAAAAACTGTGTCAAATGAGATACTAAAAAGTGATATATTTTATTCAATCTAATTTTCAGTATTTCAAGCACCAAGATTTCTAGGTGACAGCATTAAATGTAACTTCTAACAGGTAGTTAGCATTTCAGGTTTAATTTGTCTTCTTTCCAGTACTTACACAGTATTCTTGGTTTTCAAACATTGTAATGTAAGAAAGAAAAATGATGAATGATTACAAAATAAATTTAAAAAGACCAAGTACACATGCATATCAAGTGAATACATAAATATTAATACCTTAAGTACAAAACTGTTTATATGCCTCAGGAAATAACATTTTCATTCAACCATAAATAATATTAATTTAAAGTAAAAGTTTAGAAGGTAACCTGTTCTAAAGGAATCACAAATAGGCCTTCTGAAACTCATGGCCTTACACATTTGGGTTTCCTTTTTCCCGGGCTGTGAGTCTTTCCCCCCTTTCGGCACTGGTCATATTGTTGCATGCCTCTTTACTTTCATACTAATTCATTAAAATAATCCTTTAAGAAAGATGAATATCCTTTATATCAAATTTGTATTTTCTTGAAATTTTTGTTATTCCTTCTTTTGCGTAATTACCAATTATTATTTTTCGTTAATAGTCACTGACAACCTCATATCTTTTAGTCAGGAAATATTGGTAAGAACACTAGTTACAGACCTTGTAAGAGCAGCATATGACCTCATGTACAACAAATCAACTGTCTTCATGTTTGTAAGTCCAAGATTTATATGCCACTTACAATAAGAAATATTTTATTTTTATTGCACTATAACACAGTGACTCATTTCAATGTGGTAGTAGAGCTTTTATTTCCTTCATCTAAAAACAACACATTTAAAATTACTAAAGAAAGCCAATAATAAAATTATGGATTTTGATGACTATTTGCCATTTAGCAGCTCAGAGGTTAGCAAACATTTTGTGTAAATGGTAATTATTTAAGGTTTTCCAGGAAACACCATTTTCTGTTTATGACATCTATTCAACTCACCTGGTGTAAACACAAATACCTAAATGTAGAAAAATCCTGTGCTCCAGTAAAACTTCTTTGGGCATGGAAATTTAAATTTCAAATAATTTTCATGTATCACGGTATTATTACTCTCAATTTGTTCCCATTCATTAAAATATGCAAAAGAGTTTACTCACTGGCCAAGGAGGAGAGTTGTCAGGATAGATCTGACCTGTGGGCTACTTTGCCAAAACGGTGGCACTGTAAGTTTTCTTAGATTACGGACTATTTCTTAACCAGTTTTGTAACTCCGGGCCCACCATGATTTTTACACATATTGAGAAAGATATAGAGCATGATGAATGACTAGATACAAACATTCTGAGATTTATTTAACTTTAATTTATGAGTGAAATAAGTACATTAATATATAATCCTTAATTCTAGTATGCTTTGGTAAATGGCTGAAAATTGTTTTACCTTATAAATATTTTTTAGTTTCCAATTTACTATAACATATGATTATTTTTTAATAATTACAGATATTCTCCCATAGATGCTTCCTAATCTTTTAGCGGATTCTAGAATTAAACATTAGTTAAATTTTGTAACCCATTTTTACTTTGTAAGGCTAATAAAAGATGCTTTATGTGATAATAACTTTTGGACACATTTCTTTTAAGCAATGATGGGACATGACGAGCTAATGCTCTGGAAAGCAATGATTTCTTAAGATCTATATATTTATCCCTATTAGCACTTCATCAGTGCCAACAAATTACTCAGTCTTCATCAGACCATAAAAATCAGAGACAATGGTGAAAAAGACTTTCCCAAATCTAAATTAAAGTTGGAACAATGTAGATTATTATGTGCTTATAAATAAGTTTCAACAGAAACTAACTAAGTGGCACGAAGAATAGTCAGTGGAAGTTTAACTATTTGACTAACCATAATCCATGACAGAGAGCATAAAATAGCAAGCATGATAACCAAGTGTAATGAACAGATTACAAAGGACAAATGACAAACCAGGAAGGCTTTTCACTGAAGAACCAAGACCCAGTCTGCATTTAGACAAGAGTTTTTGTGGATCTGGATTTGGGTGTCCATCCCTCCACAACCTTTCTGGCCTTTTCTCCTCTCAGGGGAAATTTCTCACGGAAAGTCTCTGTGTGTCCTTTTGGTGCAGGTGGGGAAAAGTCCCCTAAGCTGCTGCCAAGGACAGGGTTCAACCCACCTTAGGTTGTTTAACAAGAGCAATATTGCTGGGCCTGGCACGCTGACTCAATGGCTAAATCCTTGCCTTATACATGCTGGGATGCCATATGGGCACCAGATCCTATCCCAGCTGTTGTGCTTCCTATCCAGTCCCCTGCCTGTGGCCTGGGAAAGTAATACAGGATAGTCCAAAGCCTTAGAACCCTGCACCTACGTAGGAGACCCAGAAGTTGTTCCTGGCTCCTGGCTTTGGACTACCTCCATTCCAGCCATTGCAGCCACTTGAGGAGTAAAGCAGTAGATGGAAGATCTTTCTCTCCGTATCTCCTTCTGTCTGTATCTGCCTTTCCAATAAAAATGAATAACTAAAAATTTTTAGATGTTGGGCCTGGTACAGTAGCCTAGTAGCTCAAGTCCTTGCCTTGAATGCGATAGAATCTCATTCGGGCGCAGGCTCAGGTTCTAATCCTAGCGGCCTTGCTTTCCATCCAGCTCCCTGCTTGTTGCCTTGGAAAGCAGTTGAGGATGGCTCAAAATTTTGTGACCCTGCACCCATATGAGAGACCCAGAAGAGGCTCCTGGCTCCTGGTTTCAGGTCAGTTCAACTCTGGCCATTGCAGCCATGTTGGGAGTGAATCAGAGGACGGAAGATATTTCTCTGTCTCTCCACTTCTCTGTATATCTAACTTTCCAATTAAAAAAAATAATAAATATTTAAAAACATTTAGATATTTAAAAAACAGCAATTAATTAGAAATATAAAAACGAGAAGCTAGTCGAACTGTTTTCTGGTGATCCTACATTACGTTTCAGTTTCTTTTTAAAGGTTTTATAGTTATACATATATTTGCCATAACTGCCTATATCAAATGAATGAATAGTTGCATTTATAATATGATGGGAGCTCTACCAAAGATGGCGAACAATGTCATTCACACAGCTTCTGTGCAAGGTTTTCATCACTGGGGAGTCATGGAACTTCCACCTATCTTGATATAGGCAGTTATGGCAAATATATGTATAACTATAAAACCTGAGATGTTAAACCTGATTCTAATAACACATAGGCAGCTGATTCTAATTCCAGGTAGGTAGGTCAGAGTAGAATTGAAATGAAAAGAGGGACATTTGGTATACAGAGAATTACAGAATTGACTGGTATGAGAAAAAGTCTCACACATGGTATTAGAAATATGGTTTAAAAAAATACATTCTACGATCACTTTATTAATAAGCAACAAAAGCCAGAATCCAACCTAGCATTTTTGTATTACCTACAATGGTATATTAACTATTCCTCACAATTAAAACGTTATTACTTGGTATGAAAGTAATCTGTGGTAAAATTTCTCTACATTTATGAATGAAACTAAACAGTAATATGAAAATTTTAACCATCATACAAAAAACAGGGATATAAAAAGCCAAAAGCAACTCTTTTGAAACACTTAACACAACTGACTCCAGAAATCAGTTCTTTCATATACACAGTGACCTTAACAAGGAAATACAAATACACCTTTCTAAAAGATAGTTTCATTCTTGATTGTATTTCTTAGTACACCTAACATCAGAAAAGAAATTTAGAACTGTCCAAAGAACCATTTCCTTATAAGACTCAGAAGATAAATAAATTGTTCATGAATGATCTTATTTATGCAGTTAACATAACACTTCGGATAAAACTTTTCCATTAGCTTTAAAAGCAAAACAACTTTATTTATAAACCTAATTATAATAAAAAAATTCAGGTACCATGATTTTCTTTTGCATAGAATAGAAATATTTTACACTGGCTTAAAAATTATATCTTCACATACTACAGAAGTTTGAAGTACAGTATTGGATCTGGTAAACAAATGTCACTACAGACATACTGAATCTAAGATTCTAGAGTTAGAATAAAAAAATTTGTGTTTTAATAAAATTTTGGTTGATTATCATGAAGGCTACTTTGAAAAACACTCTAGTAGCATAAAAAGGATAGTAATTATTTAACAGAAGAGTAAAAGGACCTTGGTGTTAAGGCAGTAGACAACATGCCGATTTCAAAATAGGACACGATTAACATTAAGTTGAAACTGAGCCAAGAAACACATTTTAGGGAATAAACCAAACTGTCACAAGTGGTAATTTAAGTTTCCATGTGACTTCTAAGTGGAATATGAAATATGTAACTTCTTTAATAAAGAAAACAAAGACACAGTACTAATGAATATCGCTTACTAAAGTAAAAACTCCTAATATAATTTTTATTCCTGTGCCAAGTGTGAAAGTGATTTTTGTGGCATGAAGCCTTGGCATTAACTTCATTTTTTTACTTTATTTTTTATTCAAATATTTTAAAAATAACACATCATTTTCATCAATAGCACTATAAAACTGGCATACCTATTTTACTGAAATAACTATACGTTGGGACAAACGACATGGTAATTTAGGGAAAGGGAAAACTGATGCAGTTTTTAATTCTTTTGACAAGGAAAGCAGAGCAGGTGCAATGCCACCAGAATTCCGCCACCTGTTTAGTAATGTGTCTACAGTTTACCTGTTACGTAGACCACCACTGGACTAGTTCAAACTTCTTCATATTGTATCATTTCTAGTTTAAGTCCAAAGAAAAGAATGCAAAAATATTTTTCATAATAACTCATCAACAATCATATTTTCACATTCTTATAACCACAAGTCAGTTATTCTGCCTCACAAAATCATCAAAATACTATAGAATTAAAAATCATGATTAGTCGGTCTAGCCTCAAATATGAAAATGACAAGTACTATCTTACCTCCGGAGTGACATCTCGTGGTGCAAACCCTGTCCCTCCAGTTGTTAAGATCAAATTAAGTTCCTTTTCATCACACCAATCTATCAGGGTTTCCTGAAAGAAAACAGTAGTACTGTCACACAGAAGGACTTGCATGACTGCTCAAAATACGTCAGTCCTTACACACTTCACAGGAAGCGAGGAAACAGGTTCCTTTCAACAACTGATACCATTTTCAAGCTCAAAACAATGAACAGTTTCAATCTTGGTCACAAAGCTCAGCAGTTTGGAGTATTTAAGTTATTATTTATACAAAATGAATATGCAAATACCAAATCCTTGAATTAAATCAAACATATAAAATAGCAGAAATAGTTTTAAAACTAATTATAAAGTATTTTTTAAAGATTCATTTATTTTTATTGGAAAGGCTGATGAGAGACAAAGAGAAAGATCTTCCATCCAATGGTTCACTCCCCAAGCGGCCGCAACGGCTGGAGTTGAGCCAATCTGAAGCCAGGAGCCAGGAGGTTCTTCCGGGCCTCCCACACGGGTACAGTGTCCTAAGGCTTTGGTCCATTCTTGACTGCTTTCCCAGGCCACAAGCAGGGAGCTGCATGGGAAGCAGGGTCCCCGGGATTGGAACTGGCACCCATATGGGATCACAGCACGTTCAAAGTGAGGACTTTAACCACTATGCTATTGCACTGGGCCCAATTACAAAGTAGTTTAAAGGTATATTTGAAGTTCTCTTTTCAGTCATTCAAAAATACACTCATGTTAAAAGATTTCACACAAATAGACTTTGTCATTAGATCTTGATATCACACTACTGAAAAAAATTATACACACACATATATATATGAGCCATGGACTCATTCTATCAAAGAGATTACTGCTCCACTGTGTCTGTCACAGTTGAGGATAGCCAATGTATGAATTCAGAAAAGATGTCCATCACCACAATATATGAAACACACACACATAATGAATTACTACTCATTGGTAACAAATAATGAAATCTTCACAGCTGCAGTTAAACAGATGGACTTAGAAATATCATGTTGAATGAAAAGAAAGTAGACACAGTAGGGTAAATATCCCATGTGTTCCGTTATACACAAGAGTTAAAAACACAAAACACGCCCACCTGAACACAGAGTCTTGACTTCTAAAGAATGAAAGTTCAGAAGAAATAGATAGAATTTTGGGTAATCAAAAAGTACAAGAATCTAGATGTGGTTCATTAATTGTGACACATATATCACAATAATGGGATTTTAACCTGCACTGTGGGCTGTGGAATGCACAAGAAATCTTTATGCTACACATAAACACAAAACACAACTTGTGTTTTGTAAATCTGACACTGCTCTGAAATAAGAAGTTAAAAAAGTGATCCTCTATAAGTTACTTATATGATCATACTGTTTAACAACTGTAATCCTCTCAGCTAAACATTCATACTTCCGCTAAATATTTACACTTATATGTAAGGAAATAGTCTGATTCACTTTTTCCAATAATAGGCTCAAGGGGATCAAAATATTTGTTCATGGGTAATTTCTGATTATCTAAATTGCCTTATCAATTTCCTTATCAATTCTATGACACAGAGATGAGCTTAACTATTACAAAATTTTAGAGCTGGTACAGAGCTTAGCAGATCTGCCTCTTTGGTTTATGGATAACTAAAATCCAAGTTTTAAAAAAGAAAATACCCAAACTGCACAGCTAGGCTGTAGGAAAGTGGAATTAGGATCCATGCCCATTGACTTTTTCTAGCTATTGATGATTCTATTCATCTACCTCACACTAAGGGTTATTAAGAGTTCACTGATTACAATCACAGGGCTGCTTTGGCATTATTCCATTATCTTTTTAAATTAAGTAAAACTCAAAAATACAATCATATCATTTAGTGATATGATATCATGTCTTCAGTTCTGAGATTCAACAATGATACAAAAATGCAGAATAATTATTTGGTAGGATGAATCCAACATCTAAAAATGATTCTTTCCTATAACGAGTTATTTTTTCATTTCTCTAGTATCACATGAATGCCTATGCCAAAGTTCAAATGAAGGGGATACCTCCATGCCATCACTGTTTAACAGCAACAAACTTTTCTTTTTAAAGATTAAGTTGTAGACTACTGAAAACCTAACTGAAGAACTTTCATACTTTACATGTGATAATTATGTTCTGGAGAGCTAAAAAAATTGGTGACTATTATTAATGATATAGTTATGACATGATTTCATACATTAAAGCTAAAACTTCAATTGTCTGTGTTTCTATTTAAAAAGTAGGACAAGACAAATATTCATCATTCTAAGTATTTAATTATTTCTGACAGATAAAAAGCATGGTTGACACCATATTTTAGCAATGGCCAATTAACTGACTTGGTTTATTGCTAATATATCCTCAGGCACCTTAGATCATTTTGTGAAATTTCTAAATTCCCTGTCTCAGTACTGGAGTACCTGTGCCACAGTTTCCTCATCTCTGACCTTACTGCTTACTTGAGATCTTGATACAAAATGCAAGCTGTACTAACAACAAGAACAAAAAATCTGAACTGGAAGATATATCCATATCAAATATAATGCCAATTTAAAGGACTAGTGCCAAGAAGGCATTCAAACTTTTCACATTCCAAGACCCTAATAATAATTTAAAATTGACTATAACTGAACCATGCTAATGCTTCACAATAGATAATATATATATCTAGCATAATTTATCTGCTGATGAAACTAATATTTATGGAGCATCCATCATGCATTAATTGTTAAGAGTTAAACATAAGACTGACCTTATCTTCAGAGAGGTAATAATAAATATTGGTCCATAACTTTGATTGACACTGGATTTATCTGTGAAGCTTAAAAAAAAAAATACTGTGCTCCACCATTGGAATCCAGGCTAAGGAGCTGATTTTCAAAGCTTCTCACATAATTCTAAAAAGCAGCCAAGCAACTGAGTACTATAAGTCTAACAGGACAACCTGTTTGTTTACCTAAGGGTACATTTCACAAACAACTCAACCAGGTGGGCACACAAAAATGTCACACAGCTTAAAATCAGCTGCATTACAATTAACTCAGAGTCCTCTGTCTTCAGGATGGATAGCTGGTAACCTTCACCACACAAACTTAATTTATTTAAGTAATACCTGATACCATGAACTCACTTTAGGATTTAGCAAAGTGTTTGTAAGGGATAATTTCATTATTCAATATTTGTGCAACTTTTTTTTTTGCTAGCATTTAGATGTGCAAGACAAAACAGCAATTCTATCATTCATTCAACTGGTCTGCAGAAGCATAAAGAGAATTAACTCACTCCATGGTACTCCTGAAGTTATTGATTTAACAATTCATTTAACAAGTAAGCATTTCGGGATATATAGGCAGAACTGTCTTTACCCACAGTTGTCTAAGAACCTCATTACTAAGCTTTTGATCTGAACACCAACCCCATTGCTATTATCTGGGAGCTTGTTAGCAATATAAAACCTAAATTTGCATCAACAGAATCAGAAGCTGCATTTTCAAAAAGACTGCAGAAGATAATTCACACACACATTAAACTGGACTTATTATGCTTTCTAACCATGTATCTGGCTAGAAACTCCAAGTCTCATTTTTCCATCACGTTAAACAGCAATCTTGTTTACTTACTTTTGCAATTTATGTTATTGAACTTAGCATAGCTTGTTAGAAACTAATTTATCTGAACATATTTCTTTCTGCACCTCTTAAGATACCTTTCATTGTGATCACCTTAGTATTTGGCTGTCTTTACTACATAGGATGTTGTTAAGAAATTCTCAGTGAATATCTTCATAATACTTTCTTTTACATCTGTTGAAAAACTAAGGCTAATAGCACTGCCTACTTCAGTGATCATTATTTCTTACACGGAAGATATTTCTTTAAAATTTACTGCCTTGAGCCTGGCATGATAGCGCAATGGCTAAATGCTCGCTGTACGGGCACCAGGATCTAATGTGGATGTCATTTCACGTCCTGGCTGTTTCACTTCCTAACCAGCTCTGTGCTTAATGGCCTAGCAGTGGAGGATGACCCAAAACCTTGGGACCCCAAAGCCACATGGGAGACCCGGAGGAAACTTCCGGCTCATTGTTTCCAGTTGGCTCAGGTCCAGCTGTTGCAACCACTTCAGAAGGAAACCAGAAGATGAAAGATCTTTCTGTCTCTCCTCTCCGCAAATCTGATTTGCATTTCCAATAAAAACGAAATAAATCTTGTAAAAAAATTACTGCCTTGATTTCTGAGTTAGTGCGGTAAAATGAAGATAATACTGTACAATTCCCTTCAGGCAAGTGTGATGGCGTAGGATGCTAAGCCTTTTTCTGTGGTGCTGGCATTGCATATGGGCACCAGTTCATGTTCTGGCTGTTCCACTTCTAATTCAACTCCCTGTACATGGCCTGGGAAAGCAGCAGAGGATGTCCCAAGCCTTGAGCCCCTGCACCTATGTGGTTGACCCAGGAGAGGTTCCTAGCTCCTGGCTCTAGATCAGCTCAGCTCCAGCCATTGTGGACATTTGCAGGGTAAACCAATGGATGGGTGAATCTCTGTCTCTCTGTCTCTCTCTGTTTTCCCCTCATTGTAACTCACTCAAGTAAAATAATTTTTAAAAAAAGACTTCTTTAAAAAATTACCTCTCCTTTCAATAACTAATAAAATACATGAATAAAAAGCTGGAGGAAAAATATCCTAGCAATATACTAGCAATAATCAAATATGAAAAAAGCTGCAGTCTCATGTCATAAACTCAGAATTTGGTGGCTGAGAACAAAAACAAAGGGTCTTTCAGAGGCAAAATGCAGCTATGTGAAGTTCTAACGTTGGTCATAAAGATGAATTGTCAAAATGCTAAAAAATCTCATTGATATTCCAAACTTGGGGAGACTGCACTTGAATGAAACTCTTTAACTTTTCCTTCTATACACAGCTGCTTTAAGAAACAGATATAGCAAGATACCTACCACGATCAAGATGAAGGCTCCAAAAATGGACAGTGATTCATGAAACTAATCCTAATGTACCGATGCCCACCATTAATTTTGAGCTAAA